GCAACGAACTTATCTCTAATGTAAAAGCGAGAAGAATGTCAAGCTGGACCATAGGCATTACACTCTGCTTTGATCGATGAACAGCTGCTAAATACAAAGAGCCGAATAGTAGTTCAGAGTTTACATTTCATTGTCAGAAATGATCCTCAAAAAGCATCGCTTCTTTCATCCTCGCTAAGCAGTAAGACTGCAAAGCTGAGCTGCTAAACATTTTACCAGCGACAATACAAAATGATCGGAATGGTTACCCGGCATTGTATTGCACATATGTCAAATCTAAAGGAAATTACCTAGCATTACAATTGTCATCATTGTTCAGAATCTTCTTTAGGCAGGGACAGGGCATGATAATAACAATGGAGCAAAGTGACTAACACCTGTAGAATGGGTAAATGTAATGTGCTTTGTCAAACATTCCGCGCATGTGCGAACAGCGGACTCTACGTTTACATAACGAGATAAGAGAAAGAAACCTACGAAAACCTTTGAAGTTAATGGACTTGTTAGAAAGTGTGTGTATTTTCCATTAGGCAATGTTAACTTAAATACCATTTTTATAATATTAGGGTGATCCAAAAGTAATGGGGCACCTTGATTCTTTAAACATTCTTCAAGATCTCTTTCTGATTAGCTATTAGCAACCAGCAATTTGAACGCTTTTGTATAGGGTGACCTTCGTAGGTTATCTTGACAGCACCTTGCAGCACCTCACCGACATTCCTTCATGCGGCGCTTCAAAGAAGTCAGACAGGCTTTTTTGAAACCCATCCGAATTTGTGCTGCTGCACCTGAAAGTCCCTCGACATATGGCATGCCATTCGAAAGAGCTTTGAAAGCTCTTTCTAATGACTACTTGAATATTCAAAAATTGCCAATTATTTCATGCAAAAAAGGCACTTTATTCGAAAAAGTGCGGTGTTTGGCGCATTTTCAGACTAAAACTCTTGTTTTGACCCACAATTTTTTGAAAATGAGAAAAGTCGAATAATTTGCATATGTATGGATAGGGCGTAAAAAGCACTATCAGAAAGCAACTGTTGAAGTTGAGCTTATTCAATTACTGATGAAAGAATAAGTAATGCGTTTTCTGATACTTAATGCTATATCTTCTGTTCTGAAGCCTTGGGACCACCGAGCTATCGCGGATCTGGTGACAGTCCCTCACCCGTTGCTGCTCAGATATTCTTGGTAGGCTCACTTGTTCTACTGTGGCGTTGCTGCTCAAAGTTTAAAATTACTTGAAGAGATGAGCTTTAATTTTAAGCGCTTACTAAAATAACGCCATATGACAGTGCCCAACTGTAGACCTCGATCAGAAGGTTTTGTTATGTACTAACGTCTGCCAAAACTTGGACTTCCAATTAGCTTTTCTATTTGAGAAAACCGCATTTATTCTCTAGGTGCCCCATTAGTTTTAGATCACCCTAATATGTTTTATGTGACCATGTATGTTCATATCCATCAGTAGAAATATATATAAGAGACCGTAGGAAGTCTTGGGTGTGCTTTCGTATATTTCTCTTATTCTTACTTGATGTAATTTCTCAAACTCTTTTCCGAACTCTCTTACTCTTGTCCCATAGTTTTGCAAGCAGCGAGTGCACCTTTATTTATTCACTCAGTATCTGCCATCATGATTCACCGCCGCTAGCCGACGGCTCCAGTACGATCTTTTGTAGTTTACCCATCTTAGTTAGAAAGGTCACTCGCTTTTGTCCAATTACATGGTTTGTCTTCTTGCTAATAAATAGTTGTTGGGAACTGATTTCGTTAAGGCCGGCGAACACTAACCGTCTCACCTAAGATGTTTTCATCAATCTTAGTATTAGCTGCTCTGCGAAACTATACCGAGCCTTACATAAATGACTCATTTTTCTTTGAGCAATCAATTGCAAATTATCAATATTCACTAGCTTTGCCAAAGAATTATTTCCTGGGATGACTCGCCACACACTCTTGTTTTGAAATTACAGACCAGCAAAAAAAGCATTTCTGAAAATTTTCCGAAGGCAGCTAAAGCCACGCTTTTCGGAAAGAAGTTCCTGGGATCTGCATCCAAAATATTATGCATGATTGCATTCAAAGTATAACCAAGTTTGTGCAAAGTACATACATTTAACAACATGGTTTATCTCAGCCTTTTCCTGAAGATTGTTTTTACTAAATGTAGGCAGTAGATTCTCCAAAAAGCCGAGACTTCGAAAGGCTCGAACATTGATCAGTAGCATACATGTACACAAAGTTGTTCTGTTTAATTGCCATCAGTAAAGTGTAAATACGCCTTTTTTTACACCCTACCCCCCCCCCCTCTCCCTTGTTGGTGAGTTTCGATAAAAAGGAGTCCTACTACATAATAGACATATAGACATACTAGCTGCGGTTCCCGGTCCCGCCCGGGCCGAGAGTCCAGAATGGCCCAGCATAGGGTGTGCTTCAAGATGTATACTTACCAGTCCTCCACTTTCTTCAGTTCATTTCTTCTGTTCTCTCCTGCTTCACCTCCATGTCAGTTTTAGCGCTCGTGTAGTATCCGTGGTGAATAGTCTTCTTTCTTGTCCGGCTCGCTTCATGACACCGCATGCTCCTCACCGCAAAATGTAAATGATCTCTACCACCCCTTACTACTCACTTGGAAAAATGAATGGTATAGCCTTCATTTTCCTAGATAGATTTTAGTAAACAAAATCAATAAATCGATAGAAGGACCCAGCGAATTGCCGAAAAAAGTAGCCTATCTTTTGCGCCGTGGCTTGTTTATAGGGAAACAAAATTCAGCCTCTTTGGTTCACATACAAAGGAGTCTATAAGCCACAAACATCCTAACAAACACGGTACAGTGTTTGAGTTTTATATATATACCAGTGCGTCACCTCTGCTTCGCAGAGGCTCGCACTGGCTCTACTGTCTAGGTCCTACTCATTCTCGCATTATGATGGCATTGGAACTCACCGAGCAATGCCGACTGTCACGGACAAAATGTAAACGACTATTCATTCCGAAAGCTTTTTTATGTGAAATCGGTGATTTCGCGCGAATGAGACTTTTTGCAGGAAAACAAACGGAAATTTTTATAGGTTTTTATTTCCATGGTCTCGACACCTGCAATAAGAACAGCAGTCACTGTGAGCTACATCTTTGTGCAAAAATCTCGTCAAATGCTCTGGTAGAACCTTGGCAAATTGACCATATACGCAATCAATACTTTTTAGCGCCGTTTTTGTAAAGTAATGGACTTTTAATCACTTTTTTGGGCTCAAGTTCATGACTTGCATATTTGCTTGACACAAACATCCGCGACTCTGTAAAATGTGCAACTACGGACCCAAATTTGCGGCCCAAACGCAAAGTGGACCCGTTTGACGCGCAGTTTCGGAGGGATCCACTCAACGAATCCGCTCATGCTTTTGCATGTTGGACTTTCATGCGGGTAGCATGCGTTGTGCAAAATTTGAGCCCAGGAGGTTGGCTGGAACTCGCACTACGAATTTCGTGACAGACAGAGATTCACACACACACACACACAGACAAACGTAAACAACCCTTAGCCCGTTATTATAAGTTATGATATGCTCATGCTCAATAGGGTCTTCAACAGAACCAATCACTGACCACCAAAATCGTGGAAATTTTCCTTCAATTTTCTTCATTAGAAGCTATGTGGACCCGCTTCACGTGCGAATTTCAAAGGAACGGTGCATTGGTTCCGCTCGTCCATGCACATAGTGAACCTAAATGCTAAGAGCGTATGCTGTGCAAAAAATCGGCTTGAAACCTTGGTTGTAGCTCGCTCTGTGAATTGTGCGTGCGTGCGTGCGTCAGAGCCAGTGCGTAGAGCCAGTAGAGCCAGTGCGTCGCCTCTGCTTCGCACTGGCTCTACTATTCACATGCCTTCCTCGTTGTCCCAAAATGATGGCTTTGAAACTTACCTCGCGATGCCGATCATCACGAATGAAGTGTAAACAACTACTCATTCCTAAAGCTTTTTCATGTAAGATTGGTGTCTTTGAGGGAAAGAAGGTACTCTCCAAAAGATTAAATGCGATTCTGAATCAGTTACTGGGGTTATAATGGCTTGATAGTCGCCATAAAGATGACGACAACCCTGAGTGACATCACTGAGCAAAAATTTTCTCACCTTCCCAAGTAAAACTTTGACAAATCGATCATCTACGCAATTACTCTTTTTTGGCGCCGATCTTGCATGGAAGTGAACTTTTTGCTCACTTTTCGGGCTGGAGTCCATGGTTTGCGGATTTGCTTGCTAAACGAAACCATGACTTTGGAAAAAGTCCAATTACAGGCCCACTTTGGCGCGCGAAATGTCGCGTGGATCCGTTTGGCGCACAATTTCACAGGTTCCAATTACTGGATCGGCTTGTGCTTTTGCACATTTTACCTACATGCTGATAGGGTGCTACTACCAAAATTCTAGCGCAAGACCTTTGCTGGAACTCGCTCTACGAATTTCGTGACAGACAGAGATTCAGACACACACACAGACAGACAAACGTAAACAACCCTTAGCCCGTTATTATAAGTTATGATAGATTTCGGGAGGCTGGCAACATGAACGATAGCTCGTGCCAGTATACGCGTTGCGTGAGTTAAATTTTTTCAAACCATTTCGCGCTATGATGTTCAAAAATCTGAAAAAAAAAACGTTCGGAGCTTTTGGAAACCAAATCTTACTTTTTGAGAGAATTTTCCTTACTGAAGAACATATAGCCAGAATATAAGTATATGCGCGGCATGTTGACAACCTGGCAGGACTACAGTATGCTCATTTGCAGCTATTTCACCTTGGCGTACACCCGTATATTCAAAACTCTGCGATCATTCATACCTACATGTTACCTAAATATATTTTATATGCGATATGAGATGAATTGTTTTGTTCTTTGTGGAAGTAGTAGCACATTAAGATTCGCGCCCTTTTCATGACTGCGCACACTGTCTACAGAACGTATGATGGGGGCTCACGCTTCACTTTTTATTTGGTGTTAGTAAAAATAACACAGGATCCACTCTCCTCCTCTTTCGTAGTGGTCCTCCAACTCATCTTCTTCTTCGTCGATAAACCCGTATTTGCATACGACTCTCGCATCACCCAAGGCCTCCGCATCTTTCTGAAAATGCTACATTAATAGTACTGCCCTTGCAGCCACTTTTTGATACCCTAATTTCACGGGTATAAGGCGCGGGGGATTTTTTTCCAAAATCGACCACCCCAGACTAGCCAATGGACCTTACAACCAAAGGACCCTATAACGTGCTGTATATTGCTTGAGAGAATCGTGCGATGTAGGAATTTCTTTCTGGAATACAGTGAAGCGGCTGAGCTGCTCGCTTGAAAATTCTAAAAAGTGTGCCTCATACGCGTGAAATTAGGGCACCTATTTTTTCTCTTATGAGCTTCTCAAAGTTTAAAGTTATTAGCGTCTACCTAGCGCATCGATGGAAGCTCTATATTCTATCCGTATTAAGAAAAAACTGAATTTCATTAATTCCATATCCTATGTTTTAGTTTTAGTTTTCAACATGGGAATTCGTTCTGAGAAGCTGATTGATCACGGGCATCTATTAACTATGCTTTTGATGATGGTGTGTAAGATGGGCGTCCAAAAATGCTTGAGAGCATTATTCGATAGAAGTAAGCTATGTAAGGATTACCAGGTAACCGCACAAATGATCACCTGCGCTGTACAGGGTGTCCCAAAAAATGTGCCTACTGTTTGATTGTTGACAACTCTCTTGTAATGAAGTCTTTCAAGAAGTTTTGGGTACCATTTTGTAAAGCTGGCTTTGACTTAGATTTTCGGTATAAAGCGGATTACCGAGTGCATTCCATTACTGTGGGATTACGGTAGGAAATTTGAAGAGGGTTTTGAGCCAAGAAAGGCCATATTTTGCCTTAGAAAGAAAATGAATCAAACTGAAAACTTTTACGCAAGGCTAAATAAAGTTGCTGATTCTAAATGTGAAGCTTGCAACTTTTTATAATGTTTCATCAAAAAGATATACGAGATAAGCAGTAGCCGCCGTTTTTTCAATGTTTCCAAAAAGTGCGGTAACAACGTTTAGAATGCTTCGCAATCTCGTACATAGTTGAGTATTGAATTTAGCGTCCATGAAAACCCTATCACACAAGTTTTCACATTTTTTTGAAAATTTTTGAAATGACAGCTTTTTTCATAGTAAAACCACATGTTCGAAGTTTTTACCGTAATCTTACAGTAATGAAGAGCGATCGATGAGTCGGGCTATATAGTAAATCTAAGTTGAAGCCAGCTCTACAAAACCGTACCTAAAGCTTTCCGAAAGACTCCATTACAAGAAAGTTATTAACAACCAAACGGTAGGCATTTTTTTGCGACACCCTGTATGTAAGTTTGAGAGATCAGTTCTCAGCTCAGAAAAAAACCCTACGAACTTTCAAGTTAGTCAACACGTAATAAAGATTTATTATACAAAAAATTGCGTCCAAAAATTGGCAAACGCAATGCATTCCATCTGCATGGATGTTTGTATATTACATATAGCCTTTTAAGGTTCAAGAAATTCATGCTTTCATGTCATCAAGATTCTCATCTCTACTCTCAGAGCCGATAAACGTGATACTTCCGTAATTTTGGCATAGTTTCGTTCTTCTTTTTCAAATTTAACCATGGAAAAAAATCACAGCAACTGCATGCATATCTTTCTATAAGATAGTACATGCGTGAGCAAGTGGAGGCCCCTAGAATCTTTGGGCGGAGATTCGATTACTGGGGTGAATAGACATTTTCTGATTCTGTCTATGCTGATTTAGGTAAATCACCCGTCGTGCAGTTTGCATTGCTCTCACGAATGATGCCCTTGCCTTTTTTGGTGTCCGCTCTGCTTAAGAGCACAGGAACCGTTGTTTCACCTAAAATTTACCGAAAATTTTGCCATTTTCGCACGAATAAAATTGCCAATGAGGCTAAGTGAAGGACCTTCAACAAAACCAAAAACTCTAAAAGAGGTGCGAGAACCTTTTGCTGGACTGATCAAAGACTGCTAGTGCATTCAGTACCAAATTATATAAAACTAAACTTCTTACTTCTTGGAGGGCTTCCCTTAGACTATCTTCTGCTTCCTTATCTATCTGCTGCTGGTTGCTTCCACTAAAATGTTGATCCCTTTATCTCGGTTTTGTGTCATAAACGTACTCGACAGGAATGAAGACTTTGAGTTTCACATCACTTTCATTAATCTTTTCAACGCTGTCAGGCTCCAAGTCGTCATTCTCCTCGAAATCAGGATTGCACTCGTAGTTCTGAAAAAAAAGTAATACTGAATGACAGTGGATGCAGTCATTCTGCGCTGCGTTATACAATCAGTACTATAAATAGTGGATATATTCAAAGTCTAGAAACCATCCTATGAGACTGACCAGATTTTTGCCAAGATTCCCCTCACGAACTCTCCCGAATCCGGCTCGCACATCTGCTGCCCACAGCTCTTCCTTCCAGCACTTTTGTGTTGATGCGACTTGCAGAAGCTGAAAGGCAATTGATGTGGTTGTGTTTCTGACTCCCAAAGACTTACCGCGAACACGGACACTAAAATGCGAAACATTACTCAGAACAGTGATCTATGTTCATGGTGCGGGTTTTATAGTGAGGGACAGATTCCGAACATTACTTTGTGCGCAAGCGGGTACACAACAACTTTTAAAAAGTACAGAAAAGGTATCAAAATTGTCACGTTACAAATCCGGCATGGAATAAGCTTTGATCTAGTCCTTTCTCACTGTTGACCTCCGAGCCTTGTAAATTGGTTGTAGTCCTAGCTGACTGATTTTAAACATCGTTTTACAATACAGGATATACGGTGAAGTTTATTTCGAGAAATCGATGTTCGTGACACTTGCTCTTTGCAATTTTGCTATTAGAGCAATCTTGTAATGCAAAAGTTGTATGCCCATGCTACTCAAGGAGAGTGGCAAGATTTCGGAAGTAAACCAGTGGGATCCAAATGTTGCCATTCGGTTGTGAAATAGCTAGGACATGCTCCAAAAATACAAACTATTTGACGAAACAGCAAGCTTATAGATTTAATCAATAAAAGCTTGATCTAGAGCAAGCAATGAGGCGCAGCCGTGCTCAATTTGCCTGTACTGCAGAAAAAGAAAGAAAAATGCGGCCCTTGGTTGTAATTTGTACACCTTGTTGCAAAAAGCACTTAGCGAAATTCATAGACTGTTGCAAAAGTGGTCGTTGCCTATCTATAGGGAAAAAATAAAGTACTTCATAATGCCTCAAGGAACTGCTGCTCGAATTTCAATACTATTTGAGTGATTCTCATCTGCAAAAGGTAGCAATGAAAAACCTCGTAGCTGTAGTCAAAAATCCTTACATTTGATGATCACTGTAAGCAATAGCAGATAGAGCTACTAGAGCAGCACACGACCTGTTTAGGGCATTCTCAACCAGCGACACGGTGGTATTTTGAAAGCATGGAAATCTTTCATAAGGTCAATGCTGGAAGTTGAAATCGTGATGTAACCCATATTTACGTAAAACCGGTGATTAGGAGAAGGTTCAGAATAGTTTTACGCGCAAACTCTTCATACGCAAGATTGCCTCTATGTATGACTTATTATTGAGTGGTAAGATCCGTATGTTTCTGATATAGACAGGCTCATCAAGAAAGGATTGTTTTCTGCAAAATTTTCCCAACTCAAGGCTATCTTGAAAAGCTGTAGCCACCTGCAGTCCTGTACTAGTATTGCAGCTGACATGGGTTCTTCTGCTATCACTTGACCATGCTTGTTTTGTTCTGTTCTGTTCATTTGTTCTATTCATTTTGTTGTTATTCTACAAACTTGCTTTGTTGCTGTTTCAGTATAGAGTGCTGTGTAATAAATGGACAAATAAAAATGAAAGTTTTCAAGCTGAGCTGCAATTATGAATGCATGAAGGCTTCCCTCTGACGAATTTGACCGCTGTGTTATCATCAGCACAATACTCATACTCTGTAGCAAATAATGCAAGTTTTGTGGAAGTTCAATTTTGACTAGACATATTTTAGCAAAGCTTAACTTTCCAAACTTTAGCTTCATCAGCGAATATTTGCTATGAAGTTCTCCTATTAAGGCGCAAATATCGTGATACAAGAATTGAAGTATGACATTTAGCACTTACTTCATCAGATCATGTTTAACTTTCCACACTCTTTGTATTTGGCCCAAAAAAGTACCACATGCTTACTCGAAACCTTTTTTTCCTGAAAAAAGGATGCGGAACTTGATTACAGATGATTGTTAAATTTCTAAACTTCAAAAGTGTGAACACCTGCATTATATCAAGGGTAGGAAATTGTTACTCGAAAGCAGAACCGTTTTAATGAAGCAGCATGTAGAACATATTTGCTTTCGCCCAGGATAAAATCTCTACACCCCTAATAAAACAGCTCCTATCCTTAATATCAGACTGACTTATGTTGGGATCCTAAAGTTGGGATCCTTCACCTTTCAAGATAAAGGATCCCAACTTTGACATTAGTCGAAAATCTTCCTCGTCGGTAGCAAAAGAAAAAATTTAGTTGTATCGCCTAAAGTTATATAGTTGCAAGATTTTCATGACATCAGGAAGTGTCTAAAGTGAGGAATAATAAGAATGGTGATATAAAACGACTACACTTGCTCACTAGTTGCAACCAATGAATAGTCTCAACTCCGATCATATGAAAGGAAAATAAATGCAGAGAACAGGGTTTGTCCATATGCCCCCTTCTTTCAGTGATAGCTGAGGTTTAATTATCAGAAGCGGAACAAAGGTTCGTGTATGCAGCTTTCGGGAGAACTTTCCAGATTCTCGCAAATTGAAAACATTGCCGAGTAATCTCTGCTGACACTGAACAAAATATAATATATTTGACGGAAATTTCCAAGAAATCATTTTGCTTTTTCACTTGCTTTCTACATTATCCCAAGTTTCATAAGAACTGAAGCCAAGTATGCACTGCAACCTGCGTATTCAATAGCAATTCCATAAAAGTTAGAGCGGTCTGCCGTGATCTGAAACCTAAGATCTTTCAAAATATTTATGGAAACATTTTCGTGTTTTTAGTTGGGTCAAAAGCAATGCTACTCGTGGCTGACAAAAGTAATCAAAACGCTGTTTCTATCTTACATTAGTAAAAGTAAAAAGTCCATCCGCCGTCTATCATTACTGAAACTTGCACCATCGTACAGCTTTCGTCATTTCTGATGTAGGGAGGGAATTTATTCAAACATCGAATTCAGAAGTTCAAAAGCTAACGTTAAACGCAACAATATGTAATCACGGTCAGTAGTATACATTAAATACATACAATCGTGAGTATGAGAATTCAGAACCTCAGAAATCAATTGAAATATGCAAAATACTCGTAATACAAGTTATATAAGTATGAAATCCCAAATCGCTGTGTGTTATGTTCATCCAATTTTTTTCAACTGACTGTAGTCCTAACTGACTTCAACCTATCTTTTCCATTTCACTGATCTCGCACGCTCTCACTACAGATTATTCGATAAAGTTTGTCTCGAGTGCTGTTGTATGCTTATATCAAAGCTTGCCACATCTGTTTTTGTTGCGAAGAAAAGTAGGTAATTCACTCGAATTCATCAGACATGCAGTAATTTACAGCAAAACAAAAAATCTCCAACCTTATTGCAACATCTTCAATTTACACCATTTCTTTTGGTCTCAAATCATAAATTACAGTACATGGTCGAAGGTTTGGGGCACGACAGAACCGGTTCAAATGTAACTAACAATAAGGTATAATTTCAGTAAATGCCGATTTTTGAGATGTTAATGTATGTTTATTTATCATGTAATCCATATCTAATACAGCTGATACAAATGCTACATCAATATCAGCTGGCAAACGGACAGTGCCTTTCAATTGCGATATATATTGCCACTGTGCTAAAAATGCTGCCTTATTGTTGGGATCTTGCGCAAAGCTGACGAAAGGGGTGGAAATTCACAAAACATGTACGACCACGAATAATGCAGTACGTCTACTATCACATATTTCTAGATCGGCAGCTGTAAAACGGGTGAGTGCAGAAAACTGAAACCATAACTTCTCATGCTGCCAACGTAATTTCTCGTATGTATTGAAGAGGAATCTTTTTTATTTGAGGAAGATTTGAAAAACTTCTTCCTGGCACGCCGCATTTTTCAGCTGCCAACTATGAATTTGATGGTCTGCAACGACATAGCATGCCATTATTTAAAAAATGCAAAATTGCTATCTCCATTATGCTTCTAGTCTGATTCGTATTTTCGCAACGGTATTGTCACTAACAAAGTCTTCGAATCGTACTGTGAAATGCAGAACCAAGGCACGTTTCACAATTTCCAATTGTTATTTGAATTTTGAAAATAGAATTTGGGTTCTGAGCGTAACACTATTCAAAAAACAGTTACTCGGCAGAAGCTCCCCCTCCCCAGCACAAAATAGCGAAATTTGAAAAATTTAAACAAAGTTGTACTCACCCCTTACTTTGATGGATATTACGACTTTGTCCATGTGTTCATTGAAAGAGTAGTGCAAGCAATTTTGAGTCTTTTTTTTCTAGAAATTGAAGAAAAGATTGATTTTATTTTGCTAATTTTCTGAACAGACACAAAACGTCGTCATCACTCTTAAATCTATGGTAAGGCTAACTACATACCTTCGATAGTCTAGAGACAGGGCGCCAAAAGTGAAGCTTGTTTGAGCATCTGACATCATAAATAGTGAAGGTTGTTTGAAGAAGATCAGAGAAGAGAAAATGACGTAAAACAGATAAAAAAAGCAAAAGAAACGGCTGATAACCGGATAAAAACGCTGCAATGAGGTTTGCAACCTTTCATTTGGCGGCTTTTCAAAGTGCAAGTTTTCGCCCCAGGACCAGCAACTCGCAACGCGGGGTTTTGATTTTTGGTGCATCCTTTAAATTTTTACTCCCGCATTGACGTTCTTGTTTCCTGGGTCTTGTCTAGATTGTTGCGCTTATTGTTCTGAGCAACAATCGCCCAGGCTGGTAGAAAATCGATGCGAAAGCACAGAAACAGAACAAGATAAAGAAAAATGCACTTTTTACGATTTCTTGCAAAAAATTCCACCATTATCGAAGAGGTAAGGGCTGGATGGTTGTCTGCATTATGAAAAGAAGCAAGGTTTATAGAATGCACGAAAAAACCGCATGAAAGGAGTTAAACTAGGAGAAAAACAAGAGATTTTCGAAAACAAGGTTTTTGTCGGATTTCTCGATCAGATCAAAAAATGTGGTTCTGAGACGTTGTCAGCGCGAGAATAGAGATCAAGAGCTTTAAAATGATATATAGCTTGCTAAAATTGGGTTCGAAACAGCGAAGAAAAGGGTACCAGAGCCAAATGCCCCGCGCTCGGCGTTTGGGGTAGCGAGGTAGCGCGCAGCGCGTGGAGACGCAGACGAGCAGTGGAGACAGACCAGAGCTGACGGGGCATTTGGCTCTGGTCGTAGATTTTCGCGGGGTCTCAACGAAATCCTGCAGCACTATATATCATTCTGATCGTCATGACACGACGAGGAGAACTGACAACGTCCCAAGCTT